AGAGTATGCAAAATATATTTCTACAAAAGATGTTAAATCAAAATATATTACAAAATTATGAATCTACAACTTTTATTCCTGCAAAAAAATCGGCAATCAGAATCAGAAATCATTGATTACTTTTTTTTTTTTTTTATCTGCAAATTTCACATTTTTTTGCAAACCGCAATAAATTAGAATTAACAGTCAAGATCTCCATTATGATTAACTGTACAAACCTATTATTGGAATAACATATAGTATGTCGTTAAGGTTGAATTAGGTTGTATTGGAATTAGCAATCGTGATTTTTCATAATTTACTGTAAGTTTTACTACAAAACTTACTAGCTGTAGTGACATATAATATTGTTAACATTGAATTAGTTTAAATTGGAATAAACAATAAGTTCTATCATAATTAGCTGTAAAACATTTGTTACAAAACTTACCAACTATTAGTAGTATTTCATTAAGGTTGAGCTGGTTTGTATTGGAATTAACAGTCGTGATTTCCATCATAAGTTACTATAGAAAATTTTATTACAAAACTTACTAGCTGTAATGATACAGTATACTGTTACTGTTGAGTTAATTTGAATTGGAATCAACAATCATAATTTCTATTATAATTAAATGTAAAAATTTCAAAACTTGCCACTATTGTGATAACATGTAGCATGCTATTAAGGTTGAGTTTGCATTGAAATAACAGTCATGATTTCCACCATGAAAGCTTTGTTACAAAGCTTACTAGTTGTAATGGCACGATGTATTGTTAACAGAGTTAATTTGAATTGGAATCAACAATCATGATACATATAAAAAAATTTGTTACAAACTTACCAGCTTTTGGGATAACATGTGGTATGAATCACGATTTTCATCATGCTTTGCTTGTTACAAAACTTACTAGCTGTAACTCCCTGACAAACATGCTTATAATTTATGTTGGTTTATTCTCACGCCAGCGTGAATTTGTGGTCAAGTACCACAATATTTTAAAATTCTACTGTTTTAAAATTTGTGATATTCTGCGGTGACTAAGATAGCTAGCTGTATTTAAGAGAAATTCTGTGAATTACAGAAAATCACCGTCCCTGCATTGAGTTAACTTTAACAGTCATAATTTCTATCATGATTAATTGGAAAAATTTTGATTTGCTATAAAAATTTTGTTACATAATTTGCTAGCTCTGCATTGAGTTAGAATTGGAAGTAGCAGTCATAATTTCTATCATGATTAAAATTTTTGTTCAAAGCTTACTAACAATTAGGATAACACGTTGTGAGACCGGAAATGTGACCTGACGGCAGACATGTGACCACGTGACTTGGTAAATCTTAATTTGGGTTTCCCGCCCAGATCTGCCAGATATCCCGGATATGTCAGATCCGCCAGATCTGGAGAATCAGGATTATTTGGGTGAAATGGCGGATCTTAATGATATGGACTATACGGTTGATAATGGGTTTATTGATGATATTTGGGATATGGGAGATTTCAAAATAATAGAATTACAATTATAAATAAAGGCCTTCTGGCCCTTGGGAGTCAGTTAGACAGTTCCAGTTTTACCTAATAAATAAAGTGGAAAACATTGGGTGAATCATAGAAAACATTGGGTAGATCGTGGAAAACATTGGGTGGATCGTGGAAAACATTGGGTGGATCGTGGAAAACATTGGGCGGATCATGGAAAACATTGTGGAAAACATTGGGTAGATTGTGGAAAACATTGGGTGGATCGTGGAAAACATTGGGTGGATCGTGGAAAACATTGGGTTGATCATGGAAACTGTTGAGTGGAACTCGGAAGGGTGAAACTTGGCATGGATGTGTGATACCTGGTGGTGGAAGCAAGAAGCCTGGTGGTGGAAGCAAGAAGTCTGGTGGTGGAAGCGAGAAGTCTGGTGGTGGAAGTGTAAAGTCTGGTGGTGGAAGCGAGAAGTCTGGTGGTGGAAGCGTAAAGTCTGGTGGTGGAAGCATGAAGTCTGGTGGTGAAAGCGTGAAGTCTGGTGGTGGAAGCGTGAAGCCTGGTGGTGAAACGTGAAGCCTGGTGGTGGAAGCGTGAAGTCTGGTGGCAGAAGCATGAAGTCTGGTGGTGGAAGTGTAAAGTCTCGTGGTGGAAGCGAGAAGTCTGGTGGTGGAAGTGAGAAGTCTGGTGGTGGAAGTGAGAAGTCTGGTAGTGGAAGCGAGAAGTCTGGTGGTAGAAGCGAGAAGTCTGGTGGTGGAAGCGAGAAGTCTGGTGGTGGAAGTGAGAAGTCTGGTGGTAGAAGTGAGAAGTCTGGTAGTGGAAATGAGAAGCCCAGTGATGGAAGTACTAGGTCGAATTTCGACGAAGATATTATTTGTAACTTAATAGTAAGAATTCACTGTATTATTATTGTTAACCTTGTTTAAAATCACGTTTTTATCGCTATATATTTTCTAATTCTTTTTTTTTCTTCATATAACAGACGTAACGCTTTAATTGGTTGGTTACGACAATTGTGCGCGGAGTTGGGGCGCATAGCATTTTTTCTTCCTTTTTTTTTTATTCCTCCAATTTCTTGATAATTTTACCGTGTTAATGAGCTTTGATGAGCTTTGAAGCATATATACGACCTAGTTACTTTTTTATGGTAACTAATAATTGGAATTTCATCGACTATTCTATTTCTTCTAAGAATTGCTTTACAACTTTTTCATATCTATATGGCGTCCCTCTAGAGTGTATAAAAAAAAAAAACTTCATATCGGCGTATCGGTGAAATTTGACTTATTATGGGGTTACAATTTTATTATCATTCAACCTACAAGCCACCCCGAAAATCGATTTTTTAACTTTTTTTGATCTTATCATTTGTTTGAGATTTCTTTTTTACTAATTTCAACTTTTTTTTGCTTTATAAATATCTAGCAGCAACTTATGGTTGACAGTTCTGAAACCCAACGTTTAGTAAACTTTAGTTTGTTGCGAAAATGAAAAAAAAATTTTGAAGCAGCTATGTTATATAGATTTAGTTTTGAGAAGAAAGCAAGAAGTATAATTTTGAAAATTATAGCACTGTTCAAAAATTTTACGAGAAATTTTGAAGTACGGTTTTTTTTTTTTACAAAAAATATTGCAGGTAAATAAGGCAAACTCTTTTTACTAACCTTCAATATCAAACAAAGAGTAACAAAATGAACCAAATTCAAGTAACAAACAATAAAGAGTGAAAGACAAGCAGAAGTAATGAATAATTTTTTTGTCAAATTTTCAATACTAAGAAGTCGCTTTGCATTAATTTGTAAATTTTTTTTTTATTAAAAAACTGTTATTAGTTCTTCGCCCAACGATTGAGAGTTTTAAAATTGCCTAAACTAATACTAGACTTTCGCTCAATGATTAAGAATTTCAAAAATCACCTGATTTAATATTAGTTCTTTGCCCAACGATTGAGAATTTTAAAAATTACCTGACCTAATACCAGTTCTCCTAGCAATTGAGAATTATAAAAATCGTCGATCTAATATTAGTTCTTCGCCCAATGATTAAGAATTTTAAAAATCGCCTGATTTAATATTAGGTGATACAAATAAAATTATCTAGATTACAACATTTGAAAAAATTTTAGATCTAGCTGCCCGGAGGTTTTTTTATATACCGTATTCTTCTGAAAATAAGCACCCCTCAGAGCAATTTTTATAGCCAAAATTCTCGTAATCTAATGATTGGATTTGTATAATCTTGGTACCATTCGAATCATTTTGATAAGTCGATTAAGATCCAATCACTAGATCATGAGAATTTTGGCTACAAAAATTGCTCCTTATTTTCGGAGGAATACGGTAGGTAAAATTTTTTATAAGAAAATAATTAATACATACTGTATGTACAGTATGTCGAAATTACTTTTTTTTTTTTAATATTTAAGGTGAGACCTTGCTCTTATCTTTATTAAACTTAATGAAAACTTTTTACATGACTGAAAAAGGTTTTATATTTTAAGCCTAGTGCTAAGAATAAGAACTCAGACATATAGCTAAGAAGACCTAGAAACTAAGTGTACCTAGTAACTTATCTGCGGCCTAAACCTAAGTACGTCGAAATTACATTGATAATAAATTTTATATCTTAGAGTAATTAATTTAAATGCTAATAAAAAATAAATTTAATTATGAATGCTACAAGGTTAATGTGATGTGTATTACAACAGAAGCTGTTTAAATAAATAATAACAAAGCTAATTTTAATAAAAATAAATATTTTTAATTACATACTCTCTGAGGATTGATAACTTTGCTAGTACATGTAAACTCAGATTGAATAGCAATTATTGGCTATACCAGGAATGCAGTATATATTATGAAGCGTTAGGGTGTTCAATGGCTTATTAAAATTGCAGATTTTCTTATAGTACTTAAAATTCTGATACTCAAAAATCCAGTAAATAAAATCCAGCTAGTATTAAAGTAATGGAAACCAGTTTATTAAGCCTGTATGACCTAATATAATTAATACGTATTGTATGTAAATCGAACCCCATATTAGTATGTAAATCGAACCCCAAATTAATATGTTATATTTATTGAAATAAATAATTAATCAAACAACATGCAATTTTTTTTAAATTGAAGTTCTAAACTAGCTTTACACTGAAATAGAGCTATTTTTTTAATCTTTATTTTAAAAAAGTAAAAGAATATTAATAATCGAAACCAAGAAAACTAATCATTAGTGTTCTAAATATTTCAGTATAGAACTAGTCTTGAGGTTCAATTTTTAAAAAAAAATAGTATTCTATTTAGTTAATTAATTATTTATTTCAATAAATCTAAATTTTGTTTTGATAAGCTTAATGATTCCAATAAAAAATCCACAATTAGTGATGATCATTAGTGACCCTGCTTGCACACCCTAACGAATTGTATAGTGATTGATCTCAATTGATTGGACAATTAATTAACATAATATTGATTGCATCACCTAGCACTATATTATGTATAGTATGAGATTTGTTTATCTTATATTTTCTGTCACTTTAATAGATAAGTTTTTGTCTCGATTAAAGCACATAATCATTGATAAAAATATGCTTTTTATTATTATTATTGCCCTTCGCCTTATAAAAAAATTTCGAAAAACATATTCTATCCAACTTTCTTCAGACTATCATTCCATTATTGTTCTGTAAAATGCTCATTTTTCGGAACAAACCATGTATATATTCCTGGTTATTTCCATAGAATTCTGTTAAATTCTGGGTAAAAAATCAAATCTGGATAAGATTAGGCTTTTAATTATAATAAAGTACAAAAGATTAGAAGCCGAATCTTGCCCAGATTTGATTCTCACCCGAAACTTACCTGGATTATATAGAAATGGCCAGGAATTTGTGTATGGCTTGTTCTGAAAAATAAGTATTTTCTGGAATGATAATGGAACAATAATCTGAAGAAAGTTAGGATACATTTTTCGAAAACTTTTTATAGGGTCAGAATTGTTGTCAGCTTGATGAGCTATATCAGATGCAACTGAATCGGCTCCAGATTAAGCCTTAAATATTGAAGCCGCAAATTGAGTCATGGCATGGGGCATGACTTCTCAAGCTGTAGATAATAATGATGCAATATAGTATTTAAAGAAGCATTAATAGCTCTAAAAATCTTTAATAAGCTGAAATTGGTCTACAAAATTCTTTGCCATGTAATGTCAGGTTTTCACATAATATTTCAATTAAATATCTTCGGAACTTTTCTTATTTAATCAATTGAGCATTATCAATTAATATATTAATTAATTTCTCATTTAAATTTTATTTATATTCTCTTAAATAATAGGTCTCTTAAATTTTAGTTGGTGGAGAGTAGTTTAACCGGTAATTAAGTGTTGAAAAAAAGGGTTGAGCCCACCTTTTTTTGTCAGACTTGTTCTGATTGGCTAAAATTTTATCCACATTCATGTTATGAATCTTCAGCAAAATTACAGTAAATATCACTTCAATTAGCATGTTCTCAAGCAGCACCTCAATATAATTTGCTATTGATTGAAATAATGCTCAATATAGTTGTTAGATGAAACTTCAAGGTAAATCTAACCACTACCAATTAGCCAATACTTTTAAATTTTGGAATATTGCTAAACCATGAACAACGAATATTAGCTTAATTTAGAAACTATTAGACAACTCCAATACAGAATAGTTGTTTATAGTCTGAATTTAGATAAATAAATATTGGGTATCCAACTAAATATAGCATAACTACATTGATATGAGATGCTATAATTAACAAAAATAAAATTTTATAAAATTTTAAATTGTATATAGTATAAAGTATAAATACTTCTTAAAAGATATCAATTATACAAACTAATGTAAACAAGTTAAATGAAATATAAACAGTTTATTAAATATTTAATCTAATTAGACTAACAAATAAACTTAGAGACTATGAGTGTTCTTAATCTAATTAGCTAGCTGCATAATTATTATAATTAATTAAAGTAATACTTACTATAACTTTAATGAAGATTTATAATGCTATTTTTTTTTTTTTAGCTCTTTGACAGTCTTGCTGGAGCTCAAATACAATACTTTTTTAAACAAACTTGGATGGAATAAATAATGACAGTATAGAAAATTGCAAGCTTAACATCACCTGGCTATATCTGGTGTGTCCAAGAGTGACGTGTCGCACCAACCTACATGTAAGTTAGAAGACCTTGTTAGCCCGCCAAGAGCCTATCCCTTCATCCTTACTTTCTTCACCAAGAGCAAAAGAAAATAATGTTTCATATTCTCAATACTAGAATATACATCAAGAAGAAAAGAAGTTTATGTACAAAAAAGAAACAAAACAAGAAAGAGTAAATAATAAGGAATAAAAATAGGAGAAACAAAAAATATAAAAAAAGAAAAAACAAAGAGATAAGCCCTAACAGGCTAAACAAAAAAAATGCTATCTCCCATGAGAAATAGCAGCTACCTCTATCAAGAAATAGCACAAAAATGAACAAAAAATGAAAAAATGAAAGTGCATTATTATAACCTGTGCTAGGCAAGTATAAAAATTATATAACAAATACAACATTTGTATATCTCTACTGTAAGGCTTCGCCTTAACGTTAGTATTTCTTTACAACTATACAACTAACTCTGGAAAATTTAGTTCCGACCTAATCCGTATCTTGAGCCAGGTGCTGCTGCCATCTGTAGACCCATATCTCAAGCCATCTGCTGCTACCATTAGAACTCAGGATCTGTCCAAATTAGTAGCACCATATCCATCGAACATATGGTTGTAATCTACTTGGCTATCTAGATTTGGAATATAAACACTGTTGATCTTTTGAAGGGGGTAAGCCAAATCCCCACTTTTTGAAAAAAATTTTTGGAAAACCGAAAGAAAGCGGAAATGAGAGGAGAGAGTTGCAAGTACTTTCAAAATTTTTAAACAAGTGTGTTAAAAAAGCAGAGCTTCTTGTCGTTTCTCCTGTGTTCTTTATTGAAGTAATGGCCTAACAGCTTTGTCGATAGAGTTGGGCCTCCCAACCTATATTTCACCAGGATTTTTTATACAAGGGCACTGCCTGCTAGTTATCTTATATAATAATACTCCTGGCTTGCATGCCAAATGTCCTTTTAGAGGAGTTCCCAGGAGTAGTAGTTGATCTCTAGACAAACCACTGTTCAGGCCACGACTCTCTAACAAGTAGTTCTGGTTTTTCTTTAGCAGAAAATTTTGGTCCAGGTGATCATCAGGAAGAGTTGAATAAAATTTTTGATAATGCTATTTTAATTTTTGCTTATAAATTTTACTCTTATAATTAACTAATAGTTAGAATTAGAGTAGTTAGTACAGTCTTTCTCCTCTATAATCACCTCCTTTATAATTACAACTCCTATATTATCACACAAATTTTTGAACAAACTTCTTTTATAAAAAAAACCTCTTTATAATTACAAATAAAGTATTATTACCATCACACTATATAGTCGTCCTCTTCTATAATCACACAGTTGGTTATATACCAACTAGGTGATTATAAAGAAGTGTGACTTTATAAAGGTCACCTCCATATAAGCACATCTTATATTAAAAGTGACTAATGTGATTTAATAGAGAGAAATATATAATATGTTAAATTTTTTTTCTTTACGTATACGTACCTAGAATTTTGCTTTTTAGATGTAATGAAGTTTCAAATAAAACTTAAATTTCGAGTGTTGGGTTATATCTTCAGACAGTATTATTTAACTAATCTGCATACCTTAACAATAACTCTGGCCACACATTTATATAACGTAGATTATGACACAATCACGATTTTATTCGAATACGTATTTATTGTATAACAATAAGGTTTTTCTTGTTCGCTTATCTTCTTTCTTCGATAGATAGATCATAGCTATTTTGTAGGAAAGAGAGAAATTATGTCCAATTACTTTAAAGATAAATTTTTATATTTTTTGAAACGAATTTGTCTTTCAATATTGATGTTTAAAAACTGATATTATCGGGATTTTTTTTCTACTTTTAGTATGATGAACTTATCAAAATAATTTAACACACCGAATATTTTTGATTCTTTGAATTACAAAAGAAATTTTGTTTAAAAAATATTTTATAATAATATTTATACTGTAAGTTACTTTAAACTTTCTCCCAAATAGAAGTATAAATAAAAATATATGTATGATATAAAATGTACGTATATGTGTATAAAAAAAAAAAAAAAGCAAAAAAAAATAATGTTACAAAACATCATTATAATCTTTCTCATTATCTAACGACGTAAAGAAATCACCAATAGATGTTTGGCGCTTAGATTCTCTATATCTTCGGTTTAACAAAGCTAAGTATTTTCAAAAAATTTTAAGATCCTCAGCTTTGAAATCTGTATCCATTTGTTGTTCAAAAAAGGTAATAAATTTATTTAAACCTATTAGTCCTTCAGAAATAGGAATTTTAGGTTGTTCTTCATCCAAGTCATCAGGATCTCCATTTTCGCGCTGGTTTTCTTCATCTAAAACAATTTCAATAATTTTTGAATCTTCAAGCTTTTTCTCGGTTATTATATGCGAATCATTGAGGTCTAAATATGTGTTTAATTGGCTTTTAATTTCCAGATCTGGATTATGAGAGGTCAAGTCTATTACCAAGTTATCAATATTTTCTTCTTGCTGTTCTAACAACATATTCTGATTATAGGTAGCAGCTTCTATTTCTTCATAGGAAAATGATGATAGAATTCCAGTCTTTCTCCAACAATTGAGAATTGTTTGATCTTCAACAGCATCCCAAGACTCAGATACATAATATATGGTATCCTTAATATTTAACTTTTTTCTAAATGAAATCAAAATAGAATTAGTATAAAACATTTACTGTATTAAAGAATTAAAGGGACAGATGTCAATAAAAACAAACAGATTAATATTTTTAAAAAAAATTAATTCTTTAACTTACACAGCCCACATCTCGATGAATTTTGCAGCTATTTTCATGATTCAATAGTCAAAAGAAAGATCTAACCTTTCTTTGACTATTAAATCGCTTAGAAATTTATCAAGATACGGGCTATGTAAGTTAAGAAATTGATTTTTTTAAAAAATATTAATCTGCTTGATTTATATTAATGGTGGCCCAAAGTGTAAGTTTTTAACTTTTTTAAATCTTCATTGTTTTCAAGTTGCACTAGAATATGACGAATATACTTTTGCTTATATTTGGATTTGAAACTTTTGATAACACCTGCATCTATAGGCTGCAGGTGTGCTGTAGTGTTTGGGGGTAAAAATTCAAGTTTAATATTGGTTAATTGTATGGTTGAATAATCGAGAATAATACATGGTTGACCATAACCACTACTATAGTGACCCTTACTCCCACCAGTACTATATTTACCACGTTTACTACGACTACTATGACTATTATTTGCACCCTTATTGGTTTGGGTTAATCTTGGCCAACCTCGATCTCGATGATTCCCATGTGAAATAGTTGTTACTTCAAGTTCTGAATCATTGGATGTTTCTTCATCTATATTAGAATTTGATTCATTTGATTCATGTGTTTTATGAGTATTAGGTTGGTTATGATAATGTGATGAGACATTATCTACTAGCAACAAGACTTGACGATTCTGAATTCAAAATTTCTGATCCAAATTTATTAACTATTCAGAAAAAATGTCATTTCGCATCCACGCCCGGGAATTTGCATGATAAGTAACAGGTAAGGAATTGTAATTAACATTAATAAGTGCATGAGGAGAAATTGAAAACCCAATTATTAATGGTTTTAACTTTTTAGTTCCTGTCACATTACATGCTAGCATAATAGTAATTCGTGAACAATCCTAATCATATATGAAAATTAAATGCTTAAAATAAGAGGATTTTATCTGTATTCGGTGAGTAAGTTACCTAGTACATAAAAAAAATTAAACCTTGCTAATGTCTTAAAATTTTACTATGAAAACAATTTAAGATTTTATGCAAAAATGTTTATTGCTCAATTTTACAGATACTGTAATTTGTGGCAAATAGTACCTGGGTATTTTACATTCTTAGGATTAAAGTTTTGATTATTTGAATCATATTTATGAAATATGTTACTATTTATTTCCTGCAATAGCAGGAATAAGAAGTACATCTCCAGTCATCTGGGGCCAGTTATTTCTCTGTAGCAGTGAAATAAGTATATTATTCTTTGTTTTTATAGGATGTCATGACGAAGTTTTATAGCTTATAATTCTACTTTAATTAGTAAAAAAAAAACTAGTTTTTATCCATGCAAGTTATTTCTTTGGCAATACTTGTTATTTCCTCGGAAATTACAAATAGTGCTGGGGAAATAACTTATATTGATAAAAACTCAGTTTTTTTACTAATTAAAGTAGGATTATGAGCCATAAAACCCCATCATATGACCATATATAAATGTAGAATAAACTTAATTAATCCCAGATACAAATCGTGGGGGTATGTAACAAGAAAGTACTATTTGCTGCTAAATATATCTTTAGTAATACTAAATCTAATTCTAGGGTTATATACTAATTCTTTTTTTCATATACCGGATAACTTACTATATAGTTAACATAAATTTATTATAATTTATAACTAGCCTTTTTAAATCCAGATCTTGATCGGGATGCAAGTGTTTGGTCTGGCGCCATATGAAAAAAAAGCTCTGTTTCGTCCGCGTTAAATACATTATCCAATATATAACCTTCAACTTACGCAATTTTTCTCTATATTCTGGAAGCGAAAATAGTAGTACACTATTGGCTTCTCCATGTAATCTAAAATTTCTAAGATTATTGCGCTGTTTAAATTTATGAATCCATCCATTAGAAAATTTTAATGCATCATCACCTAGGCCCAAGGCTTTTGCAAAAGTAGCTACCTTTTCCTTAATCATTAATTCCATCAGAATCACTTCGCTGTTAGTAATTTGTTCAACCCAAAGTCGCATCAATTGATCCAATAAAGGATATTTCACTTGTTTACGCTGAAAGACTGTAGAGCTTAATTGATCTTTTGTAACAGCTAACCATTTTGACTTTTCTTTTAATATCTTTGAAATAGTGGTCTGATCCAAATTTAAGTTGGCATCTTGAGAATTAAAATAGTCTGCGATATCTATTTGTCTTTTGTTAGAGTTATTTTAACTGTATTCACATATTTTTCATTTCAAATGCTCACTAATAGCTGTTCTTGGTCTTTTTTGTGGTAAATTTTTAGATGACATGAACTAAGTATTTACTCAAACTATCTAAAGGGATTTACGGAACTAATAGTTCTTTTATATTTAAAGTATGTACGAAGTCTAATAATATTTATAATGATTACTACAATTATGAAAAATTTCTCTATCTTAAAATATATAAACAAACTGAGTAAGTTGGAATTTTAAATTTTTATCTTTTTTAAATAATTTATTGTTATATCAAAGAAGATGATTAATTTACAGACATTCTGGTTACTAGCAAGCTTTAATTATATGCTCTGTTTGGTAGAATCTTGCAACATGACTAGCAATTGGACTTTACTTCACAAGCTAATGACAATAGTATGGATTTCAAGTTTGTATTTTTAATAATGGTTACAGGTTTGTATGTACACTATCAATTATACAATTTTTTTTTTTCATAGTTATTTAAGAAACATATTTTAATGATTATAGCCAAGGAAAAGCCTGTAAGTACAAATGTAAATTTTTGCCATACTGGACTTTTGAAAATTAGTATTCGTTTTATATACAAATACAATATAAGTATGTTCAAAATACTATCAATATTGATAATAGCCCGCTTTAATATTACAAATTTTTGATTCAAGTCTGTATAGTAAAATTCAAATTTGTACTTATAGGTTTTCTCTTTGTAGCATTTAAATAAAATCTGAAATCAATTTAAGTGATGCCAAATGAGTTGGTTACTGATTAAAAAGTGCCGTGCTGTGAGAAATTTAAGCTTTGCAAGTTTTTTTTATTTTCTATTACTTATTTTCTTAAATTGATCTGATCAGTAAGTATAGATAACGATTGATTTTGTTAAATTATTCACTTACTAATGAATGATGACAGTAGAGACACAGGATGAAATTAAATGTATCAGATAGGGATTATAGAAATATCAAGTACTGATTTTTTTTTGATTCTTGGTGTTCATCGTGACGACAACAAAGACATATTGAGAGCTGATAGAACTATCAGATACTTAATGAAGCTATTAAGTATCTGATAGCTTTATCAGCTCCTAATATACCTTTTTGTTGCACAATAAGTGCCAAGAATCAGAAAATCAAAACCTGATATTTCTATAATACTTATCTGATATACTTTATTTCAACCTGCTATTATAGACTGTTAGACATTTTAGCTTAAGTTGTACGCATCATGAGCAGTGTTTAAAATCCAAGTGGAATTTAAATTACACAGATTAAAAATTAATTCCACAAGTAATGTTTTCTTTGAATCTGCAGGTTTTATTATGTTATGCAAATTTCAAATTTTAAATACTGATTCTTAAAATTTATTTAATGCGATGTGGCGATGATTGCATATTATGTAATAACTTTAATTTACAATCTTGTTAATCGAGTTTTTCAATGCATCAGGGCATATTTTAAGAGCTTCTACTTTTAGAAATTTGTGCTGTTTATTAATATAGTTATTATTAATACTGTTTAGACCACCTTTTCAACTTATTTTTTTGTTAACTCTAAATCATTAAAAAGCAATAAAGTAAAATTTTTTTAAATGTGTTACTTTATCGATAGTCACAACATTTTATGACAATCAATTCATGTTATGTTTATTTTACTAGCACTTGCTGACAAGTTCATTTATTGACAATTTACTTTACCAACAATAACAAGTTTTTTTTTAAATTACGCTAATTTTATCCCTTTAACCTTGATCTTAACAATAATGAACAGAATTATATTGTCTATAAAATAAACTATCGGTAAGATAAACTGTAAAATGAACCTGTTAGTGAATTAAATATTGATAAAAATAAACATATTAGTAAATTGATAAAGTGTTAAGCTACATGATTTTTTGTATTATTTAATAATTAGTGATTATATAGAAGGAGTTTTATTATTAAAAAATTCCATAAATATAAATATAAATGTGATAGTGATTATAAGCTTATTGTGATTATATAGAAGATAATTTAATAATAAAAAAACAGGAATTTAAAAACAGGTGATTATATAGAGTTTGTGACTATATGAGTGGTGATTATATGGAAGACGATTGTATAATAAAAATAAAATACATTTATATATATATTATTCCTCTATTAAATCACATTTTAATTAAATAATAGCATAATTTATATATAGATATGTATTCATGCAAATATATAGAAAATGCTTAATTTAAAAACTTTAAAATAACATGTTTTACTATTTTTAGATAATTAAATTTGTAATTTATTAGCAGATATTTGAATATGTTCATTTTATCTTGAGCTTCAATACTGTCTTAAGTAAATTTAATTAAAAAGATCTTATATTCTTCAATTAAGCAGGTTTATTTATTAATACTATATATGTAAGACAAATTTCTAAAAAAATTGTGTCTGATGATAGCTGTTAATATACAGTAAATCGGCATAGCTTCTAAATTTAAAAGCTTGTAATCTAGATAGAAATATGAAAAGTTTCAAAAATCAAATTTTTATTAAAGTTTGGTCTCAAGTTAGACTTGAAACTTCAACTTGTATCTGCATATATATCTAATATAGCAAATACTATTTTTTATACCAAATATACTAGATGCATATATAATATCACAGTCAAACTTGGGGCTAAACTTTATACTTTTAGAGTCAAGCAAACAGACTAGACCTTTTATATTCCCAGATTTAGAGTATTGCATTAGCATTAATATAAAAATTTAGTAAAGATTAATATATAGGGTTTTTGCCTTGAAAATAACTTTATAGTACATGATACCATAAGGTTATTTTCAAAACAAAGACCCCATATAGTAGTTTTGTATCTTTTATATATATAAAATATAAAACTAATAAATAGTTAACAACCTTTCACATATATTATTGTTAAGTCTAACCAAAAACTTAATACTACAGTAATAAATAGTTTACAACTTTTTACTTACAGCTAAATAAATATAAGTGTTGCCAAAAGGAAACCCAGAAATTTAAATATAAATTGTTGGGTTTTCTTTTGGCAATACTCATATATACTAAGATGTTAATTTTAAATTATCAACTATATAACATAATTTTCAAAGTATGATATATGACTTTAACAAAATATAATACTGTATTTAGAAATTAACTACATGCTTTGTTTCAATAATACTATTGTGAACTAGATTTTATTGACTATATATAGTATAATGTTTATATTTATTTAATGTGCATATTTTAGTTTATTTATTTTAGATATTTATTTATTTATATAACTAATTTATATATAATAATATTAAACCTATTTAATAACTTAGCTTTAATAATTATCAAAACTATTATAGTTATTAGAAAACTATAATTATTATGATCAAAAAAATTATCGCCATCAGAAAAGTTGTCACTAGAAAAATTATTGGTATCAGAAAATTTATTACCACCAAAGAAATTATTATTATCAGAAAAAACATTACCACTATTAAAAAATGCTGGTTCATTAAAAACATTATTGTCATTAATAGTCATACTTTGATCTGCTGTTTTAAAAAACTCTGTAATAGGTTTTTGGTTTAAAGACTCTGTAATTTTTCGCTTCATTAATAGTAAGTATTTACGAAATACTTTTAAATCATTATTATTGAAAAAGAAATCATCACACATTTGTTGTTTAGCAAACAATATAAAAGTTTTCAACTCACTTATTCCTTTAGAAATAGTGCTTTTTGGTAGTTCTTTGTTAGAATCATCTGGATCACCCTGTCCGTATTCTAATTGTTCTGCTAATATAGTTTTAACAATCTGGGTATTATTAAGTGTTTCTTCTGTAGGAATATAAATTTGATTAACTTCTCTATATATATCTATTTCTTGTACAACTGTATCTTCAGTAAGATCAACCACTAATTCATATATTTTACCTTCTTTATATTTAATTGATTCTAAGTACATATTTTGTGCAAGTTCAATGTCATCATTTGATATCAAGAGTAAAATACCAGTTTTCATCCAACAATTTGCCATTGTTGACTCATCTACTTCATCCCATGAAGCTGCTACATAATCAATAGCTTCCTTAATATTTAATTTATTCCTAACAAAAAATAATAGATTTTAGTTTATAAAAATTATATTAAATTTTTGAATATGCAAAACTTACTCAGAATTCCAAATATCTAATCTACTCTCAAATTGATCTAAGATATATCAAATATATTTTTTTTGATATTTTGATTTGAAGCACTTAATAATTCCCGCATCTATAGGTTGAAGATGTGAGGTAGTAAGAGTAGATAAAAATTTAATTTTAATATTTGTAAGATGATAATTTGATAAATCAGAAAGTGTATAAACACTTGCACTTTACTTTGATGTGCAGTATTATGATTATTATCATAATCATAGCCACAACTACGGCCATGACCACGGCCACAACTACAGCCATAACTACAGCCACAACTATAGCCACGACTATGGCCACGACCACAGCTACAACTACTTCTATTTTCAGAATGCAACTCCTCAGAATCACTATGACTAGACTCTCTATCAGGTAAATATGAATTTGGATCATAATAACTTGTTGCATTATTAAATAAGAGCAAAATTTTTCGATCTTTATGTTGTAATTGGCTATTAAGATCTTTTAACTATTCTAAAAATACATCACTTTACATCCATGTCTTCAAGTTAGCACAATATATAACAGGTAGTGTGGAATGATTTATACCAGATAATGCCTGTGGTTCAATTGAAGATTCTATTACAAGAGGCTTAATTTTTCAGTACCAGATGTATTATATACTAAAAGAATGGTAATACAGACATGATCCTAAATTTTTTAACAATAAAAAAGGTTTTAGTTTAAAGAATAGTTTTTAATCAAATTTTACGATAAAAAACAAACTAATGTTAAATTAATAAAAATCACTTTCCTTTTTCTACCCTGAATGGGGTTGAGATGCCAATGTTTGATTAGGTGCTATTTAAAAATGTAACCTAGTCTTATCTGTATTAAAAACATTATACAATGCATATTCTTAAATGATATTTTGTAAATTGTATCAGAATTCTGGAAGATTACTTGTTGACACACTACTAGCCTCCTCATGTAATTGAAATTTATGCAAACTATTACATTTTTTAAATTGCCTTATTCAACTATTGGAAAATTTTATTTCATTATTAGGTAGTGATAAAGCTTTAAAAAAATAAGCAGCCTTCTCTTTGATGATCACCTCAGTTAAAAATAGACCATTATTAACAACTTGCTCAACCTATAATTTCATGGCTTGGTTCAGTAAAAGAAATTTTACTTTTCTATGTCAAAAAAGTACTTGATACTATCTTATTTTCACTAATGACTAACCATTTATTCTTTTCTTTAAGAATTTTAAAGATTGTTGAACGTTCAAGATTATATTGTAGATTTTGAGTATTAAAATATTTTGCAATTTGTGTTTGTGTTTTATTAGAGCTTTTTATATAATATTTGCAAATTTTATTTTTTAGACTATTACTAATTACTATGTGTGTCTTTTTAGTAGATTGAGTAGATATTATAATTGTAATAACAAAAAAAATCAAGGTGACCAAGAAATATAAAACTTGCATAGATATATTCTTCTTATATATATTAGAGAAATTCTATATATCCTAAAGATTTATTAGAATCTATTTTGCTTTCATAAATATACACAAAAGAGGCAGGCATATCACATCTTTGAATAGCAAAAGTTTTTTTAAATAACTTAGTAAACAAGCTTAGTGGATAATTTCTCAAAACTAGTAAGAATTGAGATTTGTTTATTTATTACATCATATCAGTCAGTTCTCAATCTATTTTTTATTGATTAAATAAATACATTGGTGATTAAATAAATATATCAATATTGGAAAATAGAAATTGTTAACATGTTCATATACCCACCTAAATATAACTTACTGGTGTAATACTAAATAAATTATTAAGATAAGTATTAATTAGCTTGTTATAAATTTACAAGCAATTTTAAGAGGTGTGGCGACTTAGTGTAGTAGTCTAGTTGTCACTCTCTCCAAGTGGCAGGTCTAGAGTTCAAATCCCACAGACAACGAATTTTGAAAAATAGCCTGTGCTACGGTTTACGGTTGTCATTTATTGGTTGGATCTAGAAATCTGTAATCTCGGTCATACCATCTAGTTATGGGAGCTTTGGCGCAATAAACCCGAGAAACCG